CAGCGGCACAAGCGCGCTCACCCAGACGCAGCCCCGTCTGCAAGCGGTGGCAGCGCCAGCAGACAAAGCGCCGAGCGCCTCGCCGGGTCCAGCCACCGCTGCGGGCCACGGGCGGATCTTCTGCAGAGCGCGGAGCAGGAGCCCCCGCGCAGGAGAGCTGGCTCTGTTGGTTTATGTTACAGCAGTGGCCACAATTAACTGTGAGTTTGCTCTGTTCACTCTAAGCTGTTTGGGGCGAGAGCGTCCCAGCGCATTGCGTTATGTGGCACACGGAGCTTCACCAACCGAAGGTTACTCATGGGAGAACACACGCCAGATCCCTCTGCTGCAAACCAGCATTAACACCACGAAAGCTGGAACACCCAAGGGCAGCAGGTCCAGCCCAGCAGATTACTGGGGGTCCTGGCCTCCTCACCTTGAAGGAGCGTTTTCTAGCAAGATTGCTCACCCCCTGACAGAGAAGTGCCCCAGCCGGTGCGATGGGCGCAGGGAGCTTGGCCTGACACCTCTGGAGCTGCTGGGGCTCAGCTACAGCACGTGCAAGGGTTTCTCTTGAAATACTTTCAAGCAGCCAGGGGATGTGAAGATGGCTGCTTATACTTTTCCACTGAATGCTGAAGAGAGTTCACTTTTGCGCAACAATTTTAAAGACTTACTTTCTGTAAACATCCTTGCCAACAAATTGCTCATTTAAAAGTGCTTGGGACATAAGTTTTGCAAAGCCATTTAGCAGAGAGTGGTTTATCCGTGCGGCTGCAATTCTTCCTTTCAATAGTCACCCAGCTCTGATTTACAGTTCACTCAAACAACAAGTTAATACACCCTAAAGCTTGTGCAGAATGAGGCCTCCCCCATGCCAAACAGGACCAGCAATAGATGCACAGAGGGATCAAACCTGAGCTGATGTAATTCCTTGTAATAAAGTCACTTCAGCGATGCCTGCGAACAACAGCATGGTGCCCAAAGCACCAAAAGAAAGCGGCAATGTCCCACCCCAATGCTGCTGTCAAGGCAGGTCTGAAAGGTGACCAGAAAGTTAGTTGTTAAACTACACGAGGGAAAACTTAGCAGGCTGCTGCTCACCTAGAAGACTGTTCCCAGGTCCTGGGTCACTAATGTCTCTTAAAACAAGCGACCTGCGAACAGCTCAAACTCCGTTTCAGACCTGGGAAGGGGCAGCTCTACAGCAAGCAGCTCAGACCCAGCTGCCCCAGGAGCACGCTTGGCTGCAAGTCTCCAAGGAATAAAAAGCAACCTTTGTACCCGCAACACAGGACACGACTGTGGTCTTGACCAAGGGTCTAGGTTCACACAGGACAGACGATTTTAGAGCCTTCCTGGAAAACAAAGAGCTTCCTCCAGCGATCGCATCAGTAAGCGCAAGCCGCGGCAAGGAAGCCAGCGTGGCTGTGCTGCCGTCGGCACCGCATGGAGAGAGGCTGCGTCCCCGGGAGCTAGAGCAGCCAAACCTCACCCTCCGGCACCGGTACACGCTTCACGCCAAGACGCAACAGTCTGCCACTGCCGAGACATCAGAGTTTCCCTGTACAGCTCCGGCGGGCGTTGAGCTGAGGCATCCCTCCCTGCCTGTCCCTGGGCAGGCTGCCTGCCCGCAGCAACTGCCTCGTCCCACTCAAGCGATCGCTCTCCGCTCCCTTCCATGTGCCCCCGCACTGGCTCCTGGGGACACCCCCAGGGTGTCACCCCTCTGCCGCAGGATGCACTCCCTTCCTGCACTGTAACTGAAGGGCTCCCTGAAGTACGAGTCCCGCAGGGATGAGCTGGGATAACACTGCACAGTCCCCGGCAGGCTGGGCGAGGGCTCCCAGCCAAGCACGACGTAAAGCCTTTGTCTGTAAAGGTAACTGCACGTGAGCGGCCGCTGCAAAGGGCGACCTTCCCTCCAGATGAGCTCCAGTCACAGTGTTGGAAGCCACGGGAATCGCTCAGCCCCACACACGGCTCCCCTGTCCCTGAGCTCCTCCAGGGTGCCTGCACTATCCCCTCCCGAAATCAGGAGTGCCCATCCCTTTCAATGAAGCTCCGGACACAGGAAAGCATTGCACTCTTTTATAGCCCTCTGCCTCCTCCCTCTACAAATATCCCTCCTGCCAGCCCTCCAAAGCACTCTGATGCAGAATGCCGAAGTGACACCAGGATATTTATTTATTTTAAAAGTTTTCATCAACAAGCCAGACTCATTGCAACTCACACAAACAAGCCAGTCTGGCACCGAACAGACCGGCCACGCTTAACAGAAGCAAACAAGAACCACATCCACTTTCCCCGAGTCATTTCTTGATAAATCTCCTGCCCCCCTGCCAGCACACACCCCACCTGAGACGGCGGGGCTCGACTTACCCGCGGCGAGCGGCTGCCCAGCCTCTCGCCCCAGGACTGCTCGGGACGCGAGGCATCCCACCAGGACTGCTGTCACCACTTACTGCGGTCAGGCAGCGCTTTCTGCCACGGGACAGCACATGTCCTACTGCTGCCAAGAATGGCCCCACAGGAGTCGGGCTTGGGAGAGAAACTGCTGCCAGCACCTGGAGGATGGAGCGTCGGAGCCCTGATCCATCAGGGGCCAGAGCCTGGTCCCGGTGCCTGCGCAGGGATCAGAGCAGCCACGCACCCGCTGTGCCCTGGCACCATCTGCTCCCACGCTCAGCCCCGGGACCGAGGTGAGGAACTGGCAGGGTGTCTTGCCTTCCTCGGGACGGGAGCTCTTGCAGAGCGCTCGGAGGCTGGAGGGGGACTGCCGC